CAGAGCTAGCAGATGACGCGGGCCGACAAGAATATTGAGCCTGCAGCGCTTTTACCGCCTCCATGCACTCGGCGCACTTCGCGTCCACCTTCTTATCGAGCACCGTGACAGAGTTCTCAAGCGCAGCAACTTGCGGTTGCAGGCCTTGCAGCGCCTGCACCGAAGCCTCCGTGGCAGTCACCTTCGCGAGCAACTCGCGATGTTGAGCCGTCTGGCTCTCGTTCATCTTGCTGAGGAGCTCCGTGATCCCCGCCATGTCCGCCATGGCAGCACGAGAACGGAACTTCAGGGATGGTGTTTGCGTTACTCAGCAAAATGCGTGAGTGAGAATGAAATGCACAATGCCGCAGTCCCTGTCCAGGGGCGCTCTCCAGGACTGCAATCGCGCGTGGCCGCCTCAGCCCTTGAGCCAAAATGGCTTGAGCCAAAATGGCTACGGAGGGAGGTGGAGGCGGAGGACGAGGACGAGGACGAGGTGGACGAGGACGAGGTGGTGGACGTCGTGAAGGTGGATATGGCGGGTTTCTGGGACCCTGCTGGGTCCCCGGCGCCGTTGATGCAACTACTGGGAGGCATGCCTGGGGTGAACGTAGTTGCGGAGGCGAGACGGTGTTTCCCAGCCACAGCAGTTGGCAGAGTACGTCTTGATGACAAAGGAATTCAACATCATGAAGTTGATCATGATTTCCAGGCTCAGGCTCAGAGAGGGGAAACCCATGAGGAGGAGACGGGAGTCAGCAGCAGCAGCCGCACAGTACCCAGCAGCAGCATCATCATCAGCAGCAGCAGCACTGTACACAGCAGCAGCAGGGCAGCAGCAGCATCAGCAGAATCCTTCAACAGCATCGCGCCAACCTACAGCAACAGCATCACCAGCATGATCGGCATCACAGCACCATCATTCAGATTCGGCAACATCGCGGAAGAATCCCTCAGCAGCACCGTCATCAACATGATCGGCATCATGTACCGCATCATCCTCTTCGGCCTGGCGTGCTTGTGGCAGCTGTCGCACCATGCCTGGAACAAGCTGATGCACGCGTTGCACGGCAACGGGGCCCCAGGGGAAGGGAAAGGGCAAAGGCCGTGGCAAGGGATTTGACAAACCCAAAGAACAAACAAATGAGGAACAAATTCGGGACGCCCTCCCGGAGGCGGCAAGGCTCCGAATGCAGACAAGTTTGATCCCCGACGAGTGGGAGCAGCCAGTGGTGCCGTGGCAGATGTTGGGGCCGCAGGGCGGGGTCGCCATCGTCCCCAAGGACGGCCTGCCCCAGGTGCTCCGGAACGTGGCCTACACGGCCAAGCCGACGGGAGCCCTTTTGACACAGGACCCTGACGAGCTGGGACTACGGGGGTACCCTCAGACGCAGGTGCGCTGCAGGGTCCAGGTCGTCACCGAGGGCGGCGGTACGAGTGAGGTATCCGTGGAGCGCTGGCTGGTGTAGCTAGGCTTCGGGGAGCACGTGCGCCTGAAGACAGTGGGCGTCGAGCTGCAGATCCCTCAGCACATGGTCCAGGCCACTGCTAAGTTCTCGGTTCGGCGTGGCTGGCCCGAGGGACCGATCCCGGCCGCCTTCTTGATGGATTTTGTGGGAAAGCTCATTGATCGAGAGGCCGTTGAAGGTGTCCAGTCCCGGCAGGATGGCACTGTAGTCTTTCAGGTCCACAAGTTACTGTTGGATACGCTGCTCCATGCAAGTGGGCAGGAGAGAGTGTTCATCAAGGCCAAGTCTGAAGTGCCCTTGGAGTTGCTCTGGCTGGAAGAAGGCACGCCCTTGTCTCGAGCCGTGGCCCTGGCGTCCCAGAGTGGGCCGATTGGTGTGGCAGAGAAAGGCAAGACCGGGAAGCTGGCGCTGCGGTTTGCGGACGAGGCCAAGATGGAAGAGTTTGCTCGCTTGAACAGCATCCCGTTCACGCCAGGCCTGGGCAGGTGGAAACTTACGGGCCTTCCGACGAGCACAGGCACGACGGGTCTCTTTGAGCTGCTCACAGCCCTCCAGTGGAACGTGGTCGAGGTGGTGTACTTTGACGACAAACAGGCCGTGTTTCTCGCCAGCAGGATCGGCCAGGATGTGCCCGCCCACTTTGTCTACAGGAGCCAGCCGCGGACGATTAAGCTCAAGGCGCTCAATGCGGCGGCCCGCAAGTTGAGTGCGGAGGCGGCAAGGGGGGCAGCAGCGTCGAGCGGCGCCGAGCCTTCCACCCCGCCCACGCGGGCTCAGAGGCAGGCGGCCCTTCAGGCAAAGCTCCAGGGCAAGGGGCAGGGCAAGCAGGCTGCGGCCCTTGCCGCCGCTTCTGCCAGGCGCCCGGCGGAGAGCAAGACGGGGCAAACGCCTGAGAACAAAGTCCCGAAGTCTGGGGCGGCAGGCCTGGACACGGAGGATGATAACCTTTGACTAGTCGCAGGATGGAGGGCGACGTGCATGACTACTTCGAATTCGTCATTTCTCCCCGAGTGGCTGGCTGAGCTGCTCTTCTTCGTCCGGCTATGCCGTCGACCACCGCTACACCGGTCAAGAGCACCTGGTCTTGTCTCACTTCGACACCACTTGCAATGGAATTCATTATTGTACATATTCACGACGGAGGAGGAAGACGACGAGGAGAGGGAGGAGTGCGACGACGGCGTCCTGGATGGCACTGTGTCAGCTATTACGTCAGTGGATTGGGATGGTGTGCCGACTACTGTTGGGACGGCATCTGGGAGTCTACACGGTGTGCAGTGGACGGCGACACGGTTGGCCATGCGGATTGTGCATACAGATTCTGCGTGCATACGGATTGTGGCGATACGGATGGCCATACGGAATTCATTATTGTACATATTCACGACGGAGGAGGAAGACGACGAGGAGAGGGAGGAGTACGACGACGGCGTTCTGGATGGCACTGTGTCAGCTATTACGTCAGTGGATTGGGATGGTGCCGACTACTGTTGGGACGGTATCTGGGAGTCTACACGGTGAGATTGTGCAGTGGACGGCGACACGGATTCTGCGTGCATACAGATTGTGGCCCTATGCTGGACGGCGTATCGGGGAGGCTAACAGGCAGGGAGCGCCTCCCAGGAGTTCACCAGATTTGTTCACGTTGGATCTTTACAATCCCAATGGGGTAACTACACAAGGATGGCATTTTGGATAATATACTGAGTCGCTCTGCGGATGTGGTTGTGCTGTCGGAGACACATGCCACTTCTTACACACAGACATCGTTCACAGGCAAATCTGGTACACGTGAACTTCTTTGGGGTGCTCCGCGATCCTTCTCGGGCGTTGCAGTGCTGTGCAGGCGCCGGGCTGTATGGGCTGCACAACGAGCTGTATTTCTCAATCCTGCTTGTGAGAATTTCCGAACACAGGAACGACTCATGGCGGTACAGATATTTGTTGGCACTGGAAGGAGATCTCTCATCATCTACGCTGTATACGGCCACTCCGGCGCCAGATGGGAGCCGCAGAAGAAGAAGCTAACGCTGGACCTCCTGACGGCTGTCGCGAATGACGCGGTGATGCGAGGGGACGTTGATGCACTCATAGCTGGGGATATCAATCTTGAGCTAGCAGATATACCTGACTATGTCCACAAGATGACCCAGGCGGGATGGCATGATGCAGCGAAGTGGGGGCTTGGAGGCCTGGACGAGACGCCTACGTGCCTGAAGGGCAAACGCAGATCTCGGATAGATTGGGCTCTCGCCAACAAGACCTGTTCGACCATGTTGCGGGGCTACTCGGTGCAGAACGGCCTCCGGGAGCGCGAGCACCAGCTCGTGCGCCTCACGCTGTCGCTGCCTGTGGCCGCGCAGGTATACAACCAGCCCAAGAGCATGGGTCCGAAGGGGGAGTACGGCGCTCCTGGGCCAGACCATGTGCCTCCAGAGCTGGACAGTGATCCTGCTATACCGCTCTTGCTGCAGCAGGGCAAGGTCGATGCAGCCATGGCTAGATGGTGCCGGCGCGCAAAGGGCCGACTTCGTATTATACCGCGCCTAGACGGCAGCTGTGCGCCAGGCAACGGTCGTGGGAAGGTGCGGTTTAGGAAGCTATGTGTACACCCGCCGGAGACGCGATCGGTTGGGACACACGGCTCCGCTGCGACCTCCACCAGCCGCCAGTTGGCCAAATCCATCCAGAGGTGCAACGAGCTCATGCGCATGGACTCCTTTGGGACACGGGCGGACCGCACCTGGGAGAACCTGCTGCAGGGTCTGCGGGGCGCTGCCGGCCCTCTCTCTGCTGAGACGCAGACTCTGCTGGAGACGCTTTCTGGGGAGCCGCTTAACCTTGGCGCACACGGAGAAGGTGCTCAAGCTACTGGTGGCGGAGTACAGGGCGCATGAGCAGAAGGAGCGCAAGAGCCTGGTTGACGCCTGGAAGCGAAGGCTTCAGGCCTCCGCTGCGGCAGCTCACAAGTGGGTCAAGGGCAGAGCCCAGCCGGCGAAAGAGGCAATGAAGCTGCCTGGCGGGGTCTTCACGGCTGACAGGCAGGAGCAGCTTGCCGCAATGCTCAAAGAGTGGTTGCCTATACTGCACAAGTACAAACGCAGCCCGGAGGACCCGGCAGCCTTCCTACGCCTTGTCCAGCCCCACCTGCGCTCCGCAGAGGTGCAGCTCCGGCCCCTGCGCTGGGGCGACCTGGCACAGGCAGCGTGCGAGACCCAGCCCTCCGCTTGCAGCTTGGACCAGTGGCGACCCGAGGAGCTGCGCGCACTAGGAATGTGGTGCCCTCAGGTATTCAAGGATTTGGCGCTGATCCTCAACTACGTCGAGGAGACTGGACACTGCCCGCGCGAGCTGACCAAGGCGTACGTCGCTCTGGTCCCCAAGGACGACACGCTGGAGGAGCCGCAGCCCACGGACTTTCGGCCTATCAGCGTCTTGAGCGCTGTTTACCGCCTCTGGTCGAAGGTGAGGTTTGCGGAGACTCTGGAGTGTCAAGAAGGGTAGTGCCCTGACGAGATGTGGGGTTGCAGGCGACACCGTGGAGCCGAGACCATGGCGATGGCCATCGCGCTGGACCTGGAGTCGGCAGCTTACGGTGGCGGCAAGCACGTGGCCGGCGTTTCCTATGATTTCAAGAAAGCCTTTGACCTCATTCCTATTGAGATCATGCTTCAGGTCTTGGAGGCACGGGGACTGCACGAGAGGCTACTGCGGCCTCTGCGCGCTATGTACACTGACCTGCGCCGTGTCGTGTCTTCAAACTGGGGGGATCAGTAGGAGAGTGGTTCCAGGCGTTCAACGGAATCATCCAGGGGGACGCTTTGTCGATGATCGCGCTGAACAGCATCGTCAGCTGCATCCTGGAGACTTCTGGCACGCACGCGGCGGCCGGGATCACGGAGCGCTCCTACGCCGACGACATCTCAGCAGTGACGGCCATGGAGACGCCAGAGGCAGCAAAGGAGGGGGTCAGACGATTTCACGGTGTCGTTCGCGCCTTCACTGGGGCGGGGGGCGGCGAGATCAACCTCAAGAAATGCTTCACCTTTGGCGATGACTGTGCTCGCGGTGTTCTGGGGGACGAAGTGCGCCACTTTCGACAGTTTGGAATCGTGGGCGATTCTTTTGCAGTGCGCGAGAGCGCAGATGCTGAGACAGAGCTTGAACTGCAGCGGCTGGCGAAGTGGAAGCTTACTGTTGGCAGAATCCGGCACGTCCCGAGGTCTTGGCGAGACCGGGCGCGGATGATGCAGGCCACGCAAGCGCAGGCTTTCTTCGCGCAAGGCACCCACGCAATGGTCGCCGATGTTGCGGAACTACGCGAGGTGCGCACGGCTGTTATGCAGGCGCTGTGGAAGGTAGACCACTACTCCTTGACCCCACTGGTCACTTTCGCGCTGCTCGCCCCGGTGCAGCTTGACGCGGAGTTCGGTGCCGTCTACGAAGGCCTCAGAGCGGTCATGCGGGCGATGCGCGTTCCTGCGCTGGCGACGACGCTCAAGGAGCGATTTGGCAGCGTGCCGACCGCCCGGCGGGATGGCCCAACCTTGCGTCTGCGCGTGCTTAGCCGTTCTGGTGTTTTTGGGCCCCTTGTTGGCAGGCTCCTGGACGGTGCCGTGACGGACAAGCAGACGGAGGGCGAGTGGCTGCACGACTTGCGGGATGCGTGGAGACGCGCCCTCTGGCAGCGCTTGGTGAAGGAGCGGGGGCACCAGGACGGCGGCGCCGAGGACGTTGACCGAGTACGCACAATGATCTTGCACGACCGGCTCCAGGAGCAGGCGTCTGCGGAGGAGGAGGCCCAAGAGGAGGAGGCTGCAGAGGCCCGGGCCAAGCTGGGCGTACTCTGGCGGATACTTGCAGGCGGGCTCCTCACCAACGAGCGCGTGGGGAGGCACAAGAAGGAGGGATCCTTGGCCTGTGCCTGCGGCGCTCCGGAGGCGACGGTGGAGCACGTTACGTGGGAATGCAGCCAGTACGAGCCCGCACGACAGCGTCTGCTGGCGGAGCTGCCAAGAATCACCTTTTTGGCATTGTGCACGAGATATGCGGGGATCATCCCTGCCAGCAGCCCGCTGACGCAGCGCCAGTCGGTCCTGCTGCAAACCTTCATGCTGACAGTGTGGAGGGATCAGGTGCAGCGCTGGCACCGAGGAGACGACCTCCTGCAGGTGGCAGAGCCCGAGGCACCGGCGCCGGCTGGACAGGAGGGCGCCGCAGCTGCAGCTCAGCAGGGGCACGCCGAGAACGGGCACCACCTCGAACGCCGGGTGGGCGCCGACGGCCTGTGGTGCCGGAAGTGCGGAAAGTTCGTCCAGAGGACGCAGCACGTCCGCCTCAAGATCACGGGCCGCCGCTGTGAGTTCCCAGATCTCCCGCCGGAGCGCTGGCTCCAGCGCGAGGGGCAGCGCCAGGCGGAGAGTCGCCTTGACCAGTTGTGGCGGGACACGGAGGAGCGCTACAACAAGGGCGGGCACGTCTTGACGTGGAACAGGCGGACCGGCAAGGTGGCCGGAGCAGCCGATGAGGGCTGGATCGAGTGTACCGCCTGCGGGAGCAAGTGGCGCTGGGCTTATAGATGCAATAACTTGCCGCGCACCCAGTGTGCCGCTCTGGGAGCAGGCCCAGCTAGCAGCAGCAGCCAGACAACGACACCAGCAGCGCCAGCACCAGCACAAGCACCAGCACCAGCGCCACAATCAGCTCCAGCACCACCAGCGGCCCAAGCACCAGGAAGAGGAGGACGAGGAAGAGGTCGAGGAGGAGGGCGGGCCAATGGCAGTAAAGGAGCCAAAGGCGGAGGAGACCAAAATGGAGGAGGTAGAGGGAAGCCAAAGGGAGGACGAGGAGGAGGTCGAGGAGGAGGGCGGGCCAATGGCAGTAAAGGAGCCAAAGGCGGAGGAGACCAAGATGGAGGAGGTAGAGGGAAGCCCAAGGGAGGGGGCACGGGAGGTGGACGAAAAAGAGCAGCAGCACCAGCCCCCCCAGCAGCAGCTTTAGCAGCGGCAGCTTCATCTTCTGGGAGGAGTATTGGGAGGAGGGGGCGTGGCTTCGTCATCCCGAAGCGGGGCGAGGGCTAGGTGTGCGTGGTCGTGGAGCCCTCAGGCTGCGAGCCTGTTTTCTCAGACACACACCAGCTTCTGGGACCCTGCTGGGTTCACAACAGCTGGCAGCGCGGAGAACCTCGCCCGGATACGGCAGACGGAGCTGCAGCACGGGCGTGTGGGCACGATGACGACCGTCGGGTACATCACTTCGGAATTTGCTGCCTGGCTGCCTGGGCAACTGTCGCCATCCGTGAGCCTCCAGTTCGACGATGTGCCGTCCGGACTCGGTGCCGTTACCAAGGTTCTTGGGGCGGGCTGGGCGCCAGGTGTGGCTAAGTTTGTCACCGAAGGGATCGCGAAGATCGTGGAGGTGCCGCAGGTAGGAAACGTCGAGGATATCCTCCACTCGCCGAAGGCTTTGACTGAAGAGGTCGAGGAGATCATGGAGGTGCCGCAGGCAGAGTACGTCGAGAAGATCGTCCACGTGCCGATGGGTGTGACCGACGAGGTCGAGGAGATCATGGAGGTGCCGCAGGAAGGGCACGTCGAGAATATCGCCCAACTGCCGAAGGCTGTGACCGCAGAGGTCGTGAAGATCGTGGAGGTGCCGCAGGTGGAGGATGTCGAGAAGATCGTCCACGTGCCGAAGGCTGATACCCATGAGGTCGAAAAGATCGTGGAGCTGCCGCATTCAAAGTACGATGAGAAGATCGCCGAGGTACCGAAGCGTGTGACCGCAGAGGTCGAGAAGATCGTGGAGGTGCCGCAAGTAGAGATCGTCAACGTGCCGAAGGATGTCACCGAGGTCGAGAAGCTCGTGGAGGTGCGGCAGGTAGCGCACGTCGAGGAGATCGTCCACGTACCGAAGGCGATGACCCACGAGGTCGAGAAGATCGTGAAGGCGCCGCAAAGCGAGTACGTCGAGAAGATCGTCGAGGTGCCGAAGGGTTTCACCGGAGAGGTCGTGAAGATCGTGGAGGTGCCGCAGGTAAAGTACGATGACAGAGTGCCGAAGAATATGACCGAAGAAGTCGAGAAGATCGTAGAGGCGCCGCAGGCAGAGTACGTCCAGAAGGTCGTCCACGTGCCGATGGCTGCGACCGAAGAGGTCAAGAAGATCCTGGTGATGCCGCAGGTTGAGTGCGCCCATAAGATCGTCCACGTGCCGAAGGCGGTAACCCATGGGATCGAGAGGAGTGTGGAGGCGCCGCAGGTAGAACACGTCGAGAAGATCGTCGAGGTGCCGAAGGTTGTGACCCAAGTGGTCGAGACGATCGTGGAGGTGCCGCAAGTAGAGTACGTCGAGAAGGCCGTCCACGTGCCGGAGGTCACGACCTACGAGGTCGAGAAGGTCGTGGAGGCGCCGCAGGTAGAGTACGTCGGGAAGATCGTCGAGGTACCGAAGCGCGCGACCGAAGGGGTCGAGAAAACCGTGGAGGTGCCGCAGGTAGAGATCGTCCACGTGCCGAATGCTGAGGTCAAGAAGAGCGTGGACGTGCTGCAGGTAGCGCACGGCGAGGAGACCGTCCACGTGCCGAAGGCGATGATCCACAGTGGCGAGAAGATCCTGAAGGTGCCGCAGGGCGAGTACGTCGAGAAGATCGTCGAGGTGCCGAAGGTTGTCCCCTGAGAGCCCCCGAGGTTGGGGGGCCAGGCTCGTGACGACGAAAACGAGGGAGAGGAGGATATCGAGATCGAGACGGAGGTGCAGGATGTGGAGATGCAGATCCAGGACCAGGTCGACGACGAGGCCGAGGAGGTGCAGGATGTGAAGATCGAGGCCGATGAGGAGGCTGCTCCCTCCGAGGAAGCGCGTCTGAAGGCCGAGGAGGAGGAGGAGGCAGTGAAGCTGCAGGCTCAGGAGGAAGATCGGCTGAAGGCCGAGGCCGAGGAGGAGACTCGGGAAGCGGAGGAGGCCCGGCTGAAGGCCGAGGAGGTTGAGGAGGAGGAGGAGGAGGAGGAGGCGGCGAAGGTGAAGGCTGCGGAGGAGGCTCGGCTGAAGGCCAAGGCCGAGGAGGAGGCTCGGAAAGCAGAGGAGGCCTGGCTGAAGGCTGAGGAGGAGGAGGCGACGAAGCTGAAGGCCGCAGAGGAGGCTCGGCTGAAGGCCGAGGCCGAGGAGCAGGCCGCTCCCTCCGCTGAGGCCGAGGAGGAGGAGGAGAAGCGCAAGGGCAGCAACCGGCACATCTACGTGGAGAATCTGGACATGAGCATCGACAACAACAAGGCTCTCTTCGACACGTTCAGCCTCTTCGGCAGCATCGTCTCTTGCTATGTCGCCTCCAGCCCGCAGGGGAAGTCGTACGGCTTCGGCTTCGTTTACTACGAAACCGAGAAGGCGGCGCAGCAGGCGGTGGAGCGCGTGAACGGGATGCAGATCGGCGAGAAGACGGTCCTCGTGAGCCACCTGGTCATGCGGCCCTCCGCCACCCAGCCCAGCCAGCCCAGCGCCTGCGCCCCCCAGCCTCCGCCACCCAGCCTCCGCCACCCAGCCTCCGCATGCGGCCCTCCGCCATCCCTCCCAGCCCAGCCAGCCCATGCGGCCCTCGGCCACCCAGCCTCCGCCACCCAGCCACCCAGCCCGCCACCCGGCCCTCCGCCACCCAGCCCTCGCGCCTGCCCCCTCGCCAGCCAGCCCAGCCGCCACTTCAGCCCTCGCGCCTGCCCCCTCAGGCTCCGGCGCCAAGAGCGGCGCTCCTCGTCCCTCTGCCACGCCCTCCGTTTCAATGGACAGTCCGAGGGGTCCTCCCTCGCACCCTGCCTTCGCTGCCCCCCCCCGGGCCGCCGTCCACCCAGCTGCCACTTCAGCCCTGGCGCCTGCCCCCTGTAACCCCCCTCTCCTCATCCCGCTGCCACGCCGTCTGTTTCATTGGACAGTCCGAGGGGTCCTCCCTCTCACCCTGAAATTGCTTCCCCCCCCCCTGGGCCGCCCAGTCCGCCTGTCAGTCTGACGTTACCTCCGTTGTCCCTGGGTCTGGGCGCCACCGGCGAAACCACCAACACAACCGCCAGCAGCAGCACAACCACCACCAGCACTCCCACCAGCACAACCACCAGCAGCACAACCACCACCAGCACAACCGCGACCAGCACAACCACCAGCACAACCGCCTTCAGCACAACCACCAGCAGCAGCACAACCACCATCCAGCTCAACTGCCACCAACACAACCACCAGCACAACCGCCATCATCACCGCCACCTGCACAACCACCAGCACCACCACCACCATCAGCACAACCTTCACCAGCACAACCGACGCCATCACAACCACCAGCCCTTCCGCTCCGCCCAGCACAGCACTCGCTGTGCTCCTGCGCCGGGCGCCCCCAGCCCCGACGTCTCCTCAGCAACCCAGCCCGGCCATGCTCGGCTGCTGTCGTCGCGGCAGTCGGGGCCCCCTGGCCGGACCCTCGTCACTCCTGTCCCTCGTGACGGCCCGCGGGGCTCTCGTCACAGCCAGTCCTCCGACCCGCACGGTAGCCCCCCCGCCCTCGGCACCCAGATGCGGCCACGATGGGACGGCATGGGCAGCGACGACTCCGCTTCGACCGTGTCCGGTGGCCCCTTTCCTGGCTGGCTGACGGAGAACCGGTTTGCCCCTCTGGCATACGGAGTACAGGGTGGGCCGTGAGTCTTCCCCTGGCAGGCGGCGGTCGCCCGCCTCCCTCACGGCTTGGTCGGGTGCTGTCTCGGCTGGGTGCCCTGGCGGCTGCGGCTCTCTCCTTGCCCGTCCTCGCGGCTGCCGCGGTGTTTGTCAGTGGCCGCTGGCGGCCTTCCTGCTGCCGCGGCCTGCTGGCGGCCGCCCTAGTTGCGGCCGCCGCTGTCTCCCCGTCACCGCTGGCGGCCGCTGGCCTGGCCCGGGGGCGCGGCGGCCTGGCTGCTGCCGCGCCTGTCGGGGCGTCCGCTGCCCCTCGTTGCATCCGACTCGGAGGCGGCTTTCTGCCCTCCTTCTGGTCGCCTGTGGCTCCGCCGTCCCGCCTCGCAGGGGCTCCTCACTGCTCCTGGCCCTGGCATTACTCCTTCCTTACTGGTCGTGACTGCGCCCTGTCGCTGCCATCGCTTCGCTTTAAAACTGGCAAACGGCGAACCGGTTTGCCACTCTGGCATACGGAGTACAGGGTTAGCCGTGCGTCTTCCCCTGGCAGGCGGCGGTCGCCCGCCTCCCTCGCGACCTGGTCGGGTGCTGGCTCGGCTGGGTGCCCTGGCGGCCGCGGCTCTCACCTTGCCCGTCCTCGCGGCTGCCGCGCTGTGTGACGGTGGCCGCTGGCGGCTCTTCAGCTGCCGCTGCCTGCTGGCGGCCGCCCTCGTCGGCGGCCGCCGCTGTCTCCCCGCCCCCGCTGGCGGTCGCTGGCCTGGCCCGGGGGCGCGGCGGCCTGGCTGCTGCCGCGCCTTGTGGGGCGTCCGCTGCCCCTCGTTGCATCCGACTCGGAGGCGGTTTTCTGCCCTCCTTCTGGTCGCCTGTGGCTCCGCCGTCCCGCCTCGCAGGGGCTCCACACTGCTCCCTGGTCGCTCGCCTGTTGGGCATTGGGCACCGGCATTCGTAGGTCCTGCGTTGTCCGGCTGTTCCTCACTGTCCTTCCGCGCCCTGCGTCCTTGTCCATGGCCTCGAACCGGCGCCTCTGCCGGCTCTGCCTCGCCGGCCGCCGGCGTGCTTAGGCAGCCTGTCCCTCTCTGCCTTCACCTGCGCCCCGTGGCCTAGGTCCTGCATCGGCAGGCTGCCCCTCACTGCTCACACGTCATATACCTCGTCATCCTGCTGGCACGCGGCCGCCGGGTCTCTGGTTACCTTCGTCACTTTTCTGCTTTCAATGACACTGTCGGAGGGGTCCCCCCTCCTTCCCGCTCGCCTCCGCCTCCCAGTCCTATGTTTTTCGCGGCTTGTCTGAGGGGTCCTCCCTCTACCTCGCAACGCTCTTCTGGATCGGGTTTCTTGTGGCAGGTTTCTTGTGGCCGCGCCCCCACTGTAAAACATCCAGAACGTTCAGGGAGGCTCGACGCCTTGGCGATACGACGCGGACTCTCTTCGGAGCGAGCGCAGGTTGAGGTGGAGGACGAGGAGGGGGAGCGTGCACTCATGGCCCTCGTCTGGCCTGCCCTCTCGCTTGTCTGGGCTCACCCTGCCGTGGTGCTCCTTCCACCAAGTACTGCTCACACTGGCACTGTCGGAGGGGTCCTCTCTCCAGTTTGCACGCGTTCCTCGCCCGGCGAACCTCGCCCGCATGGTCCCTTCCCATCATGCCTGACGCCCCTAAGCCAAGTGCTTGTCTGTGTCGCAACCCCCTGCTCCGGGCTACTCTTCGCCTGGCAAGCTCGCCCCTTGTGGCAAGCGCCCCCGTGACCCAGTCGCAGTCCTCTCCTTCTGCTCGGGTCGGCGCGCGCTGTGCTGCTGCCATGGTCTTCCCTGCACCCGGTCTCCTGTCTCTCTCGCGTTCAAGGGCATGTCGGAGGGGTCCCCCCTCTCAATACCTCACGTGGTCCTCCTGGCCACTCCTGGCCCCTGGCGCCTCTGGCCACTGTGTACCTTGGGCCCGTGCCTCCGGAACATACCGCGTCCTGTTTCCGTGGGCGCTCCGCGTCTGCGTCCGCTGCTCTGCGGGCGCTGTACCATCCGTCTACTCCTGCGCCTGGCTGGGGGCCCTTGTGGCAGTGGTTCTCGCACGCTTGACCTGCCCAGACTTGCGCTCCTTAGTCTGAGGTCCGCCCTCCCCTTCTGGTCCTCGGCAGGACTTGCGGTCTGCTCAGCCGCTAGGTGCGCGCCGGCCCTCCGGCTGAATTGTCGGGACCCCCGCCGCGCTGCCCGGCAGGTTGTCTGCTGCCCCCTGTTTCGTCGAAGCCAAGCTCAGCAGCGCGGATGTCGCGTGCTCGCGCCTACGTCTCTGTTCGGCGCCGCCCCGCTCCCCCCTGGGTCGCCCTTCCCCCGCGGTCCGTCGCCCCTCGCAGGCGGCACCTCAGTGCCCATGCGCCCCGCCACTCTGGGCGTCGTCTCTGTTGCCCTCGGTCGCTCGTGGCTACCCGGGCGGCGCTGGCTCAGCTCCTCGCTGACTTAGTCAGACACCCGAGCGCTTTCCTGCACTCCAGTGCCTCCCTGGCTCTCTGGGCTGCGCTACTGCCGCCCGCCCTCAGCCGCTTTGGCGCTTCCCTAAGTGCAGGTCGTCAACGGCTGGCGGCTCGCCGCCCCCGGCGGCTGGCGCCCTGCCTTGCGCGCGCTGCTCGCGCTGCTCGCCTGAGCTAGCAGCGGCTCGCCCGCCGCCCCCCTGTCTAGCTTCTATTTGTTTCGCCTCCTTGGCCTCGCAGGCACCTCCGGCCGCTCCGCGACTTCTTCGGCCCTGCCTACTCCGGCTGAAATTCGCTTCGCCTCGCTGCGGCCCTCTTCTCGGGGGCCAGCCATCCGCCGGAGTCCGTCGGGCGAGCCCCCCCCACCGCCTTCTATCGCCTCCGCCGTTCGCGGGCTCAGCCTTGTGAGCCACTCCGCTCGGCGGTCGTCGTGCTGCCTCCACTGCCTTTCCTCTTCTTCTCCCTCTCCGGCGCTCCTGCGCCCCCCCTGTCTCGGCCTGCCTCGGCCCCGCCCCCCCCCCCCCTCTTTCGCGGCCCTCCTCGCCGCCCACCCTGGTTCATATCTGCCGTTCGCAGATCTGCCATGGTAGCGAATATCGCTTGGCGGCTTGGCGAATGCCCCGCGCCGGCGCCGCGGCGCTGCTGCTGCCCCGGACGCCGGCCACCCCTGGCCTGCGCCCTGCGCCCGCCGCCACCGCGCTGCCCGCGGCGCCGCTGGCCCCTGGCCTGCCGCGCCGCGCCGCTCCACTCGCTCTGCGCGGCCGGTCACCGGGCGCCCGCGCGCCGCGCGCAGGGCCGCAGAGGCAAAAAAAGAAAAGCAGGAAGAGGAGGAGGAGGAGGAGGAGGAGGAGGAGGAGGAGGAGGAGGAGGAGGAGGAGGAGGGGGAGGGGGAGATGGAGGAGCAGGAGGAGGAGGAGGAAACAAACGAGCCACCTATTATTCGGCCAAGCTATGGACACGCGGCTGCTTCAGCACAAGTAATTTCAAACAAATGACAACACAGCAACCAAAAAGACAGCGTCGGGCATTTCCTCATGCGCTGAGAGGGCTGCGCCGAGCGCGTTTTCTTACTTCCTTCCATTGGCGCGCGAGCTAATGTCGCGGGATTCCACCCAGTTTCGACCGGTGCTTCAGCGACAAAAAACAACGCTGAACTGAATCGCCCACGCGCGCCTGCGAGTTCGGCCGCTGCCCTTGGACGCCCATAACGGCTCTCTACATAAGGAGTTCTCGTCACCACAGGCTACGGCTTACCGCCAGACACCGCGCCGAGCGCGCATCAGACTGCCGCCGACAAGGCGCGGCGCGAACGCCGCGCTGGGCGCTGCAGGCGCCTGAGAAATACAGAACGCCTCTCCGCGCCGAGCGCGCGTGGCATTGACCTCAGAAGCGCCAGAGCGCGAACGTCGCGCTACGGGCAGCATGCGAACGAAAAGCGCGATGGTCTAAATGGAGAGCGACTAGGGGCCGTTCTGGAAAACTGAAGAATCCAGGATCTGCCGTGACGGCCCCATGCCTTTCCAGGTACTGCACTTCGCAGATCGCGACTTGCCGTGCCCTCAAAAACTGAGCCGAGCGCGAAACCCTTGTAAAGGGATTGGGAAGGCTCCATCGACGCCGCGCGTCGGATAACCGAGAAGCCCAGCGTCTCTCGAGACGGCCCCATGCTCTTCCGGACGCCCAACTGCGCAGAGCATGCCTGGCCGTCCCTCCGCAAACTGCACCGAGCGCGAAATCAATGTGAAAGATCGACAGGGCTCCATCGACGCCGCATGCCTAGGCGCCCCGCCCCCAGGCTTTTCTCCACCAGTCAAGCTGTGGATTCAGACCGTCCAAAAACTACCGCTCCTCGGCGGTTATCCCTGCGTCGCAGCCTGGCCAGCGCTTCTCATTATACACGACCGGGGTCAACGGGCACTTCAATTGGTGAATGGAGCAAAAGCATGTGCAAATAAACGTGTTACTTTTCAACTTGCCGTGCAGCTCTTTCACCCGCCTCTCCACTGTCGCGGCGCATTCCTTGCACTCGAGCTTCCGTTTGCGAATCGTATTTTGTGATGACTGAGCATCCTCGCATCGAAATTCTTGGCACCGAGCTCGCACTTGCAGGCCTGGCAGGCGCGCGTCTCCACGCCATCCGGGTGGTAGCCCAGATCGCGGCAAGGCTTGCACACCAGAGTCGTCTGCCGACTCCGACGGTGTTCGCGTTCCTTTCGAAACCAACTGTTCTGGTTAAGCGCCTGCTTACATGCACCGCAGCGCAACTTGTTCTGGCAGCCCTTGCACACCTTGCGGGAGTCTGGGCGCCGGACCCAATTCCTCAACAAGTCTGCGTCGAATCTGAGGCTGCCGAATGTCTGGAGGCACTCCGCGCAATCGTGCTCTTCGCACTTGCCAATTTTTTCGGGGGGGGCATGCCCGCGCTCCGCGCAGTTCGGGCGCGCCAAGTCTCGCGGATCCAGGCGATGGCGCTGCAGCGCTTTCGCGGTCCACGTGCTCGCCTCGAACAAGTTCTTGCAAACCGAGCACCCGTGGTAATCTGCAGTTAACTTCCCTTCCCAGCTGCGTTCGTTACACCGCTTGCACTTGACAGATCCACCCGGAGTGGTTTCTGGGAGCCCGATTTCTATACACATGCCCTTCCGAAGGGTTTGGGGGATCTCACTGCGCTGACTGTCCAGACTGAGCCTTCGCCACACTACGTGGAGCAGCGGCGCGCGCGGGCGCACGCCTCGAGCCGCGCCTTGAGCCGACGCCAGGAGGAGGAGAGGGAATGAGGGAGGGAAAGGAGGGGAAGGGAGGGAAGGAAGGGGCGGCGGGGCGGTGAGGGAGGGGGGGGTGGAGGAAGAGGGGGGGGGGGGGAAGGGAGAAGACGAGGTTGGGGGAGGAGGAGGAGGAAGCGCGCCATCGCGCGCGCGCCGATTCGACCCTCCCCCAGTGACATCGGACTCCCATCAACTGCCTGCAATCGCCGACGAAACATGTTTTCATTTCCTGTTAAGCGCTGCGTGGTTAGAGTTGACGCGACGCCCGTCTGGCGCTTCAATTCGCACTCGAGCTCGGCAACACAAGCACGGCGCCCACGCCATTCAACGACACCAGGAGACGGCCAGCGAAAAATAGAAGGGGACATGGGGGAGAGGGTGAGATAGAGAGAGTGCCAGTTGGGACATGGGAAACCGTTGATGAGGGTTTCGAGGAGAAAAGGGGAGCAAAGCGTGTCTCGTGGAATGGGCTCGGCAAGCCTGAGGGCCTGCCCTACTGGTGCGAAGGCAGCGGGTCGGCCCCCAAACACCCCGAGACGGCGTCCGACCTGCTTGTCGCGCCCCGTCGCAACACCTTCTGAGCTCTGCGATCGTTGGCTAAATGCTCGAGCGAGTCACCTACATGCGTTTCTAAAAAGCGAGCGTTCTTCTCTCCCCCCTCTGTGCTACACAGTAAAACTTGCTGCGCTTAGCCGTGTCTAAGTGCAGCTAGACTTGGGCCCCCTGGGGCCCTTCTGAAAACTATAATTGCGTTTGTGAGCTGACGATGTTTCCTCAACGTTGCCTCGCCAGTCCTCATTCCCCTACTCCTCCCTCCACCCCTCCACCCTACCTGCATGCATTCCTACAAATCGATATCGCTCCCTTCCGTGTCATTGTTATCCTCTCCTCCATTCCCTATTCCACTCGCTGGCGAATTCAAGCCTTCACTTCACAACCGACTGCGCATCCGCGCGCCGATCCAAGGTGCACCTAACTACCAGCACTGCTAGCAGCGGCGGCGCCGTCTGCACCACCGCCAAGCCTGAAATTCTTGCAGCGCTCTTTCGCCTTGGCAAAATCAAAAGAGCACGACGTGATTGGATCTCCCGTGCGCTCGAAGTGCAGCGCCCACATCCGTACCAAGACGTCCGTCAAAGCCATGTTGTCGTCACCGTAGAGCTCCCAAGGAGTGGAGATGCGCTTGAAAGGCTGCACGCGGGCGCACCAGGCGCCCCTCCCAAGGGACCTCCAGATCGAAGAGTTCGGTGGGATCCAGAGCTTCGCGGCAGCCTGAGGCACCGTGCTGCGCAACTTCGTGGGGCCGCAATCGCCGCCAGCTCCAGCGGCGTTGGCCTTGGCCTTACCTTTCGCTTTGGGCTTGGCTGCAGCGACCGCTGCAACGTGCTCCTGGCGTTTCTTCTTGTACTCGGTCGAGAAGGCCACGTGGTTCACGGCGGAGCTCACGAGGTCCTTCTGGGCCTGCTCGACAACCTTCTGGTCTGGTTGAGCCAACAGCTCAACTGCCTCCTCCATCTCCAGGAGCTCCGAAGCGTGTGCAGCATCGTCATTGTTCCAGGCGAGCCTCTGTGAGATGATGCCGTAGCAGTCCGCGTCCGAGCATGCCAGCACGTGCTTGGTGACAGTCCAGAGCGCGAGGAACAAAGTATGGGGTAGCCTTCATGTCCAAGCCCAGGGCCCCGCCGAACTTCTGCACGTTGGTTCTCGGAAGCTCTCAGAATGCCTTCCTCGCGGCGAGTTCGATGAGAGGCATTTCTTCTCCCACCTGGAATGACCGAAAGGCGAGGTGCTTCTCGACAAAGGTACCTTTGAACGACAAGATCTGGCTGGCAGGGGATCTCCATTGCACCTCCTGGGCGACGATCTGGCGGAAGTCGTCGATGAAGTGGAGCGTCTCCTCCGCGTTGCAGACGGCCTGCTTGGGCTCGAAATAATTGCACGTCTGGACCGCATGCTTGGTACAAGGCCAACTGACTGCAGCAGACTTGCCCATCCAATCGACTCCGTAGTGTCACTGGTCCGTACCGCTGAATCGGAATACAAAGTGATGCTTCCAAGAAACTAGCTGCCCGTGCCAAGCGTTTTCCATGCGGCCGAAGTTCTTGTCGGAGCCGTGGATGGTCCGAAGGCAGACGAGGTCGGCCATGTTGGCATGGACGTTGATGGCACTTGGGCTGTGCCAAGGGACCGAGGGAGTCGTGGAGACCAGCCTCTCGAACTTAAGGCTGCGGGTCGCTGGCGAAGGCCTGAACGCCTCCGCTGGAAGCCTGGCGCTCTTGGCCACGTAGACGTGCTCGGGCATCAGGAGGTCGAAGTCGCGGCGCTCCTCGAGGATCCCAGAACCAAGGGCAACTGCCATGCTCTTCTCTGGCTTCCTGAACCGAGCAGCCGACATAACTTGCCTGTTGTTCTTCTGTGCGCCGTTAATGTCCTCAACAATCTGGGTCATCAGGAGACCAGAGGCCCACCTTTGAAGCAACGATTTCAACTCTGCATGGGGACTGAAGTTCACCGCTGGGTCGAGACAGGCGCGCTGGAGCACTTGGTTGCTGATCTTCCCAAACAAGCGCCTGTCAACGACCTCCTTCACTGCGGCTGACATGGGGAGGTACTTTGCCAGCGCTTCGTAGGCCTCCATGTCGACCTTGAACTTCTGGAGGATCTGGTCGGCAAGTCCAGGCTCGTCGCTGTGGATGCCAACCATTCGCCACGGCCACCCAAGCGTCATGTGCAACCCTCGGCTCAAGCGGTGCTTGACCAAACACCACTGCATGTCCGTGATCATCATCGCGGCCTCGTCCTCCATGGCAACGTCATTTGCGTCGAGCTTCTGGGCGTCGGCTTCAGAGCATGCGAAGTCGCACTCCTGAAGGAAGCGCGCGTCCTGCCCAGTAGCCACGAGGCCTGCCACGCGCGTCAAGAACTCCCCGCCCGCCTGGCGAACGATCCAATCGAACGTGCCCTTGGCGGATCGCCCGATCTTGTTCCCCTCTGTGTGCCAGTCCTTGACGTGCTTGCCCAAACCAGCGAAGCCGCTGCAGATGCGGTGGCTGACGGGGTCGCTCAAGAGGACGACCGAGAGGGCCACGCAATTGACAGTCGCCCCTTTCAACGCAGACCTCGTCTCCAAAGTAATTATTTTCTCCGTCGTGGTACCACCGTGCTCTTCGACGATCTGGGCGGGCCCTGGTTTGACGCGAAACTTATTCAATAATGCTTTCGTCGTGAGCCAGCCGTTGTGCAGCGCCAGGTACGTGCGCTCGAACTCATATACCTCCCAATTCGGTACATTCTTGAGGGCGCAAGCAGTGACGCCCTGGAAGCGATTGAGGTTAGTCCGCATGCCAGTCGGCACGTGGCCTGCACGCGCGGACAGAAGTTCCAGAAGTTGGTCCTCGGTGTCTCGCGAATCGTCGAACTTGTGGCCCTGCCTCTCGTAGCACTTCCGAAGTCCCGAGGCCTTGCTCAAGAACAGTGGTGAAGACTTGGCACCCTTGCTGTTGACGAAGTCCGCCATGGCTTCCCTCAGCTCCTTGTAGCGCTTTCTCTCATCGGGGTTCGGCCCGAACGGGAGGTTCCACTAGCACAACATAGCCAGCATGAACCCCCAGAGCTTCACGTCGTGCAGCATGCACACCACAGAGCGGTTGCCACCATGGGCAGGGTCGCAAAACTTGTCGACACAACACTTGAACTCCTTGGGCCCATACTCGAGAAGGTTCATCGCGCTGAGGCCGTCCCCGCCCAAGTCGATTGCCACTGTCAGGTGGGGGGTCGTCCGCCAGTCGGACCAGTCGCCACCTTCGACGGGCAGGAACGAGCTCCACCCCGATGCTGCAGTGGCCCACCTCAACTGGTTGTCGGTGTTGTCCAACCAATGCTTGGCCGCCACTCTGTGCAACTTTCTCGGCTTGAAGGTCTCTCGCTCCCCGCCCGTGTATTTGGTCAGCCACCCAATCTGTTCGGAATTGCGCCTGGCCCAAGTCGGTGTGTCAGCCTGCCTCTTCTTCGGGTTCACGCCGACAGCGTCGGGGGCGGCGCCCTCGCCGTCGAAGCTCTGGTCCACCTTCGGGGAGTAACGAAATCGAGGGCTGCATGCGCAAATCTGAGCCTGGAGACCCCCTCCAACAGTAACACCCAGGGTGAGGGGCCGAAAAGCGGATTTCCACCGATCGAGGCCTCTGAGACGCTGCAGGCCAATCAATGGCCAGCCCCCCCCCCCCCGTCCCCGCTGAGCCTGCAGCGGGGGCGGGCGCCGAAGCGGGGGCCACAGGGGGGCAACCCCGCCCGCGCGGGCGGTGCTGGTGTACACTTTTTTCGCCCCATGGGAACGAAAAAGTGTACACCACCACCCGGGTGGACAGTGACGGCTGACTCCCCATCTCCACCTTCCCCGTGCTCCTCCTCCACCGCCCCCCTCGCCCTCCCGCCTCCCCCATCGCCTTCCCAACCCCCTTCCCCCACCTGGGGCGGGCAGATCCAAGCCTGGTTGTCCGCGAGAGCGACAGCGCTGTTCTGGAGTGGCAGGTTGCACGGCGTCGCCTTGTCTGTGGCAAGCGTGAAGCAAAGGTGGCCCGCCCCAACAGTCTAATACACCGATTTGGCGCACACCGTGTACTGGCACAGGAAGCTGTCGAACCCTTCGGCGTCGATGATGTCCGAGGGTTTGGGGTACTTGAAATCGAAGCCATCGGGTCCGTTGGGGGCGTCGCCATGAGATTGCTTCAAACAGACCCTCTCGATTTCCCAAGACATCGCGAGGACGACCTGGCCGTACAGGCTCCTCAAGGCAGTCTTGCCGCATGCAGCCTTCAAGAGCTCGCCCACGTTGATCTGCGCCGACTCGCCAGTGATAATGTACTTCAGCACTGCCCACCACCTCCTGGCTGGGCCATCGCGCTCCCCCGCGGCGAGGAGCTGGGACAGGTCCGCGAGGCCGCCGATGCAGGTGATCTGGATGGCCGAGACGCCATCGGGCTTCACTCGAGGGCGAGGCCACGTGCACACCCACTCGTCGTCCAACTCCAATGCAATATTCCACGGCTGTCTCTTGGTCAACCCCGCGAGCGATTCGGCAAGCGTGTTTGCGCACTTCTGCGTGATGACGGTATTCTCCCCGCCCTTCGGCATAGTGGTTCCGATCCTGCGCAGCATTATGAGGAGTCCTGCGGTGGAGGCACAAGCGAACGGTAGGCACCGCATGTCTGGCAACAGCTTAGACTTCCTATTCGACGCGTCGTCCGTGCCGTAAGAGGCCTGGATGATCAGGCCCTTCCCGCTGGGGCCGATGTAACGCACGAAGTCGGTGGTCCACGACTGGTGGAGCCTCTGGAACCACTGGCTGAACACCTTCCTGAAACTGGCAACCTTCAGAATGCTGTGGACCGCTGAAAGTTGCCACCATATTTGCTGATTGCCTTCGCGAGGCCTCTTCATCGTGCAGGTCGCGATGTCCACGGGGGCGCCGACGTACGAGAGCGGGATAAGGCTGCGACCCCTCCTGAACTTCATCCGCAGGTAGTGCCAGTTGACGAACTCATTGGGCGCATGCTTGGTAGTCCTGGACGTGCTTATGTTGTAGTGGCCGCTCTCGTCCACATAGACCGCATACTTGAAGAGGGCGTCGAGATCCTTCACGTCAGCATCGCCATCCATTGTCACCAAGGCCAGCGCGCAATCGCAGCCGACGGTGACGAGCTCGCACTCCAAGAACGGCTCCACGAGAGAAGTCTCGCCAGTAATCATATTGGTCACCACGTAGCTGTGATTGCCGACCCTGTCAACCTTCAGCACGTCAGCCAAAGGGGCCAGTGTGTACTTCGGTTCGGTCGGGCCGCCTTTGTGCACCATCTGCTTCCCTGGGTCGATCTTCATCGGGCCGCCTGCGTCGGCCGACGCAGCAGCCATGGTCGAGGCAACTCGCACTGACGGAGCTGAGGCTGGTTGACGCGCGAAGGCGCGTGACACGCCCGATCCAAGAAACGTCGAAGCTTCAGCCAAAAAAGGCTACAGATGGGGGAAGTCGAAGGCGATGAGGAGCAGGTCAGGCGGATGTCCAGCTTTCGCGATGGGCCCAAGGAAACCACGTAAACGCAGACAGCACACCTTGCTGCACCTAGCGGTGGCTAAGTGCAACAAGATCTGGGCCCCCCGAGGGCCCCTCTGTAGGCTCGAGCTTCGTCTGCGAGCAAACCACCCCGAAATGTCGTCCGACCTGCTCGTCGCGCCCCGTCGAAACACCTATTGAGCTCTGCGATCGTCGGGTGGTGTATCGATCGAGTCACCTACTCACGTTTCTAGAAAGCGAGCGTGATTCTCTCTCCCCCATCTTTCCACACACCAAATCTTGCTGCACTTTGCGGTGCCTACGTGCATCACGGTTCGGGCCCCCCTGGGGGGCCCTCTTGAGGCCCGCGCTTCGCCAGTGAACAAACGACGTGCTCTCGACAAGTGTTTCTCCCAGCCTCTCCACCCCCAGTCTCCTCCTCCTCTTCTCCCTTCTGCCTCCTTTACCTCCAGCCCAATCCCCCCGCAGACCCGCCCCCCTGGAAAGCAGCGGAGCCGCCGAGATAGTCGAAGGCGCGGCGCCTAGGGCTCGGCGGAGCGGGGCGGGGGGGCGAGGGGGGCGCGACGACGGGACACGGAAGAGCGGGGTGGCCCAATAACATTGGAAGGAGATCAGGCGTTGGCGGCGAGAGGTGCCGAGATTGCTCACGCGCCCCTCGAGGTGGACCGATGTTGGCACTATAGTGCCAACATCGGTCCATAGCCTTGCCGTCGCCGTCGTCGCCGCCCTCGTCGCCGCCAACGGTTGCCACCGCCGTCGTCTGTATCCCCTCTCACCCCGCCCTCCACTGTGAATCGCCCGTCCCTCCCTCCCTCCTCCCCCTCCCCCACTCGCGGGATAGCTTGCACCCCGTCGTACTTCCTACCCCTCTCCTCCTCCGCCACGTCTTGACTTCCTCATCCCACGCCTTGGCCTCAACATTCGCTCACATGCTTACTGATCGAATCAACCTTTCGCCTGAGCTAGCCGAGACAAGTACGTTGACGGGTCTCTCCATCTCCCCAACGAAACCTCAACGCTATCGCAGATGAAGTGCAGACGCTGCGCATCCACGAGATCACCCCTGCGACACCTAGAGCGGAGGTGAGCCCCTAAAGTGCATCTGGGGCCAGTGCATTAGCCACCGCATTCAGAAGGTACCCTAGTATCGAAACTGAGCAAACCCATCGGGCACAATCGCACTGGACAGCACAAGAGGCGGAGCAATGAAAACAACTCGCGGCAGCTACGAAGCACGAGCCGCGCTCGGACATGCCAATGTGGGCATCCCCTCGAATCTAGGCCGGCAGTCACTTCGTTGCAGCGGCTGCCCCCGACGACGACGACGCACTCGCAAGCGACACCATCGAGGGGTCCTTCTTCGCGGCCTTGGTCAACATAGCCTGCTGGGCACGCTCCCTGGCCTCCGTCATCGCCTTCCTCTTCAAATCCGTGTTCACCTGGCTCAGCGCCTGGCTCACGAGGCTCTGCTGCTGGGCGTTGTCCAGCGCGGTCTTCCGACCAGCCTCCCAAGTCTTCTTCGCGTTCTGCACGAGCTCCAACCAACTCTCGGACTTCTCCGACACATCACCTGACTTCCAAGGGCCTTCAGCTGGTTTCTTCTTGAACAAGGTCGAGATGGTGATGGGGGGCAGCGGCTTCCTGATGAACTTGGCGGCCCGATCGTTCCAGTTGAACGCGAGCTTCGACGTCGCCAAGATGAGGCCCTCGCTGATCGGGATCTCGAACTTCGTCATCGTGTGGGTGATACTCGTAACCCACTGACCCTTCGTCATGACCTGGTAGGCGCCCAAGTGCCAGTCGACCCCACCCCCGGGCGTCAGCTGCGTGCTGCGGTGCTTGATGGGATGGCTGGCGGCGACATCCGAAGCATCCAAGACAGCGTTGAGGAGATCGACGAACTGGAACTCCGACTCCAACGGCATATTCAATGGTATCCTGGTCGCCTGCGCCGCCAAGCGATACACGACCTTCGGATCGATCTGTTTGGCGATCTTCAGCTGCTCCAGGGACAGGCCGGAGACCCGAAGCACGAAGTTGGTCAGCACCTCCTCGTCGACGCCTCCAAGGTTTTTGGGGGGCTCCTCGGGGCGCAGACACCACGACGCACATCCTGCCCCTCCCGCCCCCCTCCCGCTCCTTCCACCCCTGCCCCTCATCGACCTCCGTCCGCCACTATCCCGCCCACTCCTCGAGCCTCGAGGGGCGGATGTATGTAAGCGGTTTCTGCGCCCAATCCTTGAGGAGCTTGTCGCTCGCCGTGTCCGCCACGACCTGCTCGTCGAGCTCCTTCTTCTTCTTCAGGCCCTTCTCGTACAAAAAGTTAACGAACTGCTGCGGGTCCTCGTTCATCCACTCCACGACCTCGCTGGCGAAGGTCATCAAACGCTCGACGTCCTCAGCCTTGGAGGCCTTGACGAAGGCAGCGTTGAAACGCACGGTGCCTCCTGACCTCTGAGAGCCAGCAGACTTCGCCGAGCAACGGGCGACCATGGCGCGGAATCCAAGAGAAGGGGAGGAGAAACGCGCCGAAAGCTCTCTGAGAAAGCCAAAGAAGCTGTGGGAAAACTACATGTTCCTCATCCTTCCTCCTCCTCCTTCGCGTCCTCCTTCTCCTCATCGCCCTCCCCTCCCCCTCCTACTATTCTTCTCCGCTCCTGACGGAACTGTCGCTCTCGTGTCGCGAAGGCGGAGGGGGGGGTGCAACCCTGCGCGAATCCTCTCCCCCTCCTCCTTCTTCACCTCCTCCTCCTCCTCCTCCTCCCATATATATATATATATATATATATATATATATATATATATATATATATATATATAATATATATATATATATATAAAAAAAAATAAAAAAAAAAAAAAAAAATGGCGTCGGGAAGTGGAGGTGCATGGAAATCTCTCTTCGAATTTCTTCTGTCGCTTCTCCAAGCCCCCGGCTGCCCCGCTAGCGAAACGCTCTGTCCCGGGTCATCCCCGCCCGCGCCGAGCGCCAAGCGCCCGCGCCAACGGCCCCGGCAATCCAGACACCTCGTCCACATACCCTGCGACACATACTTGCGGTAGAAACGATCTGCATTCTAGACGCCGAAGCTGGCGGCGTCGACGCATGCACTGCTCCTTCCCCTGCAGGTAGCAGCTTGCGCAGATGCGCTTCATCGCAACAGGGCCGTTCTTCCCTTCCTCAGCAGCAGCTTCATCTCCTTCTTCGGCGCCCCACTCTTCCAGCGCTTCTTCGCGCGCGATCTCCCCTTCCAGTTTCCGCCTGAGCCGCTCTGGCCCTACCGGGCTGCCGCGGGAGAACAGGAACGGGGAGAATGCCTGGAGCACGCATAGTTTCAATAACAACCTGATTCTTGACAGGCAAACGTACGCGGCAATCTGCGCGGCCATCGAAACGTTGCTGGATGCGCGCTGAAGATCCGCGAGCGCCGCCTAAAGAGTGCCCCCCTGTATCATGCGCGCAGTCGATGCGAAGTCCGGGAGGAACCAGAAGCCCGCGCGCCGGGCCTGGATGTCTGTGCGCTTGTTGACTGTCCACGTTCTGGACCTTCTCTTCAACGGATATATGCCAGGGCCAAGGTTGCCGACGTGCCACTCAGCCTCGGGGAAGCATAAGTACATGACGAGCGGCAGGGTTTCCAGAACGAACTCCTCCTCGATTCCTTCGAACCCACATTCGGGAGGAAGCGCCCATCCGTGAACAAATCCTTTTCGGCTTCTGTACAGCCGCCTGCTGCGGTCGACATTCTCAGCGAGGCGAATCGGCTGGCCCTTTGCGAGAGGATAGATGCTGGGCACGTGGCCCGCGCCCTGGTCGCGTCTTCGAAACCATCCGGAGCGCTTCTCGTTGAGGGCCTCGCGGGGCGGGTCCCGATCGCCCAGACGCAGCGGCACGTCTTGGGCGCAGCACCGCGATAACTGCACGTTCTGCTGTTTCGCGAACTCCTTCGCCCGCAGGTTGGTGGCAAAGTACCTCGGAACGTTGAACGTGCACAATGCTGCCGCCCCAGTGAACGGCGGTCTGCGCAGCTCGGGATCCAGCAAAATAAGATCAGTCAGAACTCTGCGTCGCCGTTTGCGCTCTGCGCGGAACTGCTCGCACTCCGCTTCTTCGGATCGCAGGAAACTGGCCACGTCGTGGCAGCCTCGCAGGAAGTGCCCATTCAGTCCGAGCGGAACTGGCCGATGACGGGGTCATCTTCGACTTTGACGGCGCGCGCGCACGGAGTGCCGCCACGTAACCTCGTGGGAGAGGTTAATGCAGGAGCCCGTGGAAGTAGCTGCAATCTCCTCTGGACGGGTCTCCGCATCTGCACTGCGCCAAGAAATTGTTGCACCACTCGTCGTCGCATCGCATCAGCTGAGTCAACTGCCAGAAGTTCGGGATGGTGTCTGGGCGTTCTGCTTCCCCCAAAAACAATTCCATGACTCTGCGCTTCCGCCAGGCAAGCATTGCGGGGAGGAGGCCAGGAACGTGCCTGCGACAGGGTGCAACTGCCAAAAATCTGCGCACATGATTGAGTTGACACCTCCGAACGCTCGCGCGGACTCTTGCGCCTCTTGGACTTTCCGCGCCTCACCTTGTAAGTGTTTTTGACCCGCGCTGCTTTCGTGACCTGTTCTCCCAGCTTGCCCAAGAGTTCTGCGTCCATCATGCTGACCTCATCGATGATCATTACGCGCAATGCCTGGCACTTCATGGAAGGCTTGTGCATGTCGCCCAATCGGGCCCCTCCATCGTTCCCGGCGGGCATGCCGCTCCAGCGGTGAACCGTGCGTCCGTTGATATGCGCGGCCATTGCGTTCTGGAATGCCAGGCAGACGAACTGGGACCCGTGCT